TCTGGTTTTTCACATTTTATCACTATAACCGGTATCTCACTACAGGCGATTTTCAACTGCGCGTGTCATACATACACATTATACACGTGTGGGTACTTGATCGCGCTAATGTAGCGTACTGATACATGATGCATACTGCTGCACCTTCCCCAGCCTAGGGTGAAGAACTTCTTGGCCCAAAGGCATCATCCAGGAAGCATCAGACCAGAATACACTCTGAAAAGACACATGTGGCTCCAAGTCGAGACATCAATGCTTCACACTCTTGTGTTGCTATCACTATAAACTATATTTTTTCTGTACAAAGAGTTGTTTTGAATTGTGATTCGTATCCTTATAGCCGATTTATCGCTATATCTTTATCGCTATATCCGATATATTGGTTATAATGATAATTTGGATGATAAATATGGTGATAAAGACACACCCGGCAATATGGCGGTAAACACACGCCTGCCCACACACGCTCTCTAGGCTGCAAAGTTCTAGCACAGAGCTCTCCTTCTCACCACCACCACCATCAGTTCGCGCCTGGCGCGTGGTCGATGCATGGTTGGCGGTATCCGGCATAGCAGGCTGGTTCATCAAGTAGCGCACGGCACATAGAAGATGACACAGCAACGACATAGCTCGATTGCGACGTATGTTTCTTCCCCGCTGGACTCATCAGGCAATCTTCTTCTTGGATATCTTCATACGGAGCTTGACTCGGGAGAATGAAGTTGAAGACAACCATAAGTACAGCTGCAGTGGTGTCTTAGTAGTAGTAGTAGTAGTAGTAGTAGAATTTATTATTTTACTAGGGAACTCCCAACAGGCGTTGCCTTTTTACTGGGAACCCTAGGAATGACTTGGTGCTTGTGACAAATGCAGAAAGGGGCTTAGCTTGACGACATCCAGGTGGAAGCATGTTCCATCTGTCTGCTGCCAAAAATGAAATAGCATTTAGGCCGTAACGAGACGTAGCTCTGGGTAGGTTCAGAGCGGCTGAAGCTTGACCGCGGGTAGCAGCATTTGTGCGGCATGATGCAGAGCGGGGGGTAAATATCGTGCTTAAAAGAGGACTGGTGCAACGAGATCGACACCTAAAAACAAACACAAACAGCTTCAAGTTTACACGGCGAGAGAAAGTATACAGGTTATATTTGGTGAGAATGTTCAACTTCATTTTATAATGATAATTTGACTGGCTTTTTTTCTGGTTTTGCTTTTGACATTTTCATTTTGTATCAATATAGCCGGTTTATCACACACCCGCAATCTACCCGGAGCACGCGTAATCGCGACACACATGATATCCCTTATTTAAAATGCAGAACAACACTCGGTCAAAAATCCTTTGTGCTTCGTGCTGCTCTTTTTTTTAATGCTCTACCTAATGACTTGAAATCCTCTTTGTTTACCTCTCAGTTCGATCGCGGTTTTAAGCGCTTATTGGATGATCCAGTTTGGTTTGAACGATATCGTGCAATTTTGTTTGACAACGTTGGCAACGTTTAGTCTCTCACCAGCTACATGTATGTATTGCCCAGGTTCATTCAGCATACGTTTTTCTTCTTTTCTCTTTATGTTCACCACTCATCCCCCTTTTTTTTTTGTAAACATTTGAACATTTACACTGATGTATGAACATATACACTGATGTATATACATTGTTTATTTTATTTTATTTTTTTTATATATATATTTTTTGGTCCCATCGGTCTCTTCATATTTGTGCAGCTGCACTGTTGAGCTTCCGATGTAAAACAAAATAATAATATTAATAATCACTATGTCCGATGACTTTATAACCGATATCCACTGTACAGTACTGGCTACTGAAATCCGACCCCCTGAGCGGGCGCGGCGCACCGCCCAGGGGGTCGGATTTCAGTTGCCAGTACTGTACATATGCATGCATAACGGAGTGTTTCGTTCAACGAATATAATTATGTACTGATATTGCCAGACAGCCACCACGATGTGCACCTTACCACCTTACACACACGCTCTGAGGCCGATCATTGACTAGCATGACATTGTTTGTAGTGATGATAAATCTTCAAGTTAAAACTCTCTTGGTAAAAAACAATCCAGAGTCCCCTTGATGGAGAGGAAGAGTTTCTAAGGGACATGCATGCTGTCACAATCGGGGTCAAATGGCCAGTCACTTAGTAGTTACGTGTATATGTACTTGTGTGTTTTTCCTCTTATAATCACGCTGATTTTGTCATCCCATTTCCCCGCGCTATTGAAATGTACCTCCATCACCTTTGCCCCCTTCTCCCCTTTTCCCCTTCTCCGTATATATTCTAGTGATTGTTAGTCTTGGTCATATGCTGTCTGATGAAGTGTTTTGACACGAAACTCGGAGTACCAGCGGAATGAGACTTGTTTGATTCATTGCTGTGTAATATTTGTACAGTGTATATGTACATGTATATGTACGCACGACAATCTCAGGAACACCAGCACTGTCCTCCTTCAACTAACTACCAGCTATGTTGCTTCAGAACTCAACAACACAATTCAACAAACAAAACATTTCGTTGGCAGAATGGCTTTACGTTTCGCGTCTTGTTTCCTCGTGTTCTTCTTTTTAAATTTAGCAAACTGTAGTCATTGGCATGAAAACGTCTGGTTACTTGTGCGCCAGAGAAACGTGCTGATTGTTCACAATTTCAAACGCTGAGCGGCTCCAAAATGAAGAAATTAGCCGAACGAAAAGGGGACCGGTGACAGAACAAACCTCCACGCACCAGCGCTAGCGCACAGCTTCGGCACAGCCAAGTTCCCAAATCGTCCTCTGCATGTAGATGCCAGCAGCTTCCTCTGTGCGAAGTTTCAAGTCCTTTCTCTGAAGTGGCCTACCCTAGTGAAATAAGGTATCGCGCACATTTCTCCCGAACTACATGCTGTGCAAGTACTGTCCTGTATTGACATCGATGCGCAAAAGGGAACGTGGTTCACATTGTATCCCCAGACGGCCAGAGAGAGAGAGAGAGAGAGAGAGAGCAGTCCAGACCCAGCCTGCAACACTGCCGAGTCCAGACTGCAGTAGACATGACATGACACGTACACATCACAGTCGTGTCACTACTACACTAACCTGGCGATGTCATGTAACGGTGGTTGACAATGAGCTGGGCATTGTAGGTTTTGCACCTCAGCTTGAGACGTCACAAGTCATGTGCACTGCCTGCGTCCATTTGATCTGAACGCAGTTCACAGACAGTGCACTAGCGGTCACTTCAACTAATGAGTAATGGTTCTGAGGTGCACGCGCAGTTTTTACAGCCTAGCGAAATTGCTGTTCTCTTCAGCGCTGGACGTATCATCCATACACACTCAGTGGCTTGTTGTCCACCACCGCAAACGACTCCTTTGATTTGGGACTAGAGTACATGGCTACTGTTGTACTACATTTGCAGCTCATCTTGAACGAACTAGCCCGGTGGTTCCGTACTTTCCCACTTCGGGCTGGCATCGGATGTTCACTAGGCTAGACTGGCAAGAGCATACCTACCTCAGCTAAATCATGTTTTCTCAGGCACAGCGCCTGCTTGAAACACAACGCGAGCCGAATGAACATTCCACTCGTGAAGGACAAGATATCCAGAACGTATGTGTAACACCTGGATCGCATTATCAGTAAGAAGGAAGCCACACGAAACCAAGATGTCAAAACAACGGGACTACAGCAGCTAGCCTTGAGCATGGGAAAGCTGTGCGCATGTGGCAAGCGCATGGAGCTAGCTGTCAATCCTCCCTGGCATGACATGATCGCAACCACAAACAGTTTACAATCATGTGTCCGTTGTCCAGGATTTTAGAAACACGACTTCTACTGCTGCTCACTGCCCTGTAGCATGGAAATTCAGATTCCCACGTGCCTTTGACCTTAGACTTAGTGTGCATGCTATCAATCGCTAGTTCTAGTATGAATTTGCTCATACGTAGACTACATTGTACAATCATGTACTTGAAGATGACCCTACTACCCGGGACGTCTGTACTAGCTGTATCCATTAACAGTACAGCAGTACAGCATTACAGCAGTACCGCTCTCCTACACATGCATGCTGCATTGACCTTGTGGACGGATCCATCACGTTCGGCTTATGGCCAACATGGGTCTACATCTCGATCTGGGAACGATTACATGTAGAGGAGACGGCTCGATACCGGGACGTTTTGACAGCCAAATTTGTATAGACCCAAACCAATCATCAGCGTTGATTTTTCACTCGAAATATGTTTGTGGAAGGAAACTGGCATGTTGAAGTTTGCTCTGGGGCCAGAGTCAATCGAACTGAGCCACTCCTTTGTGTTGACCCATTGCCTCCAAGTTGCCCAATTTTTCGCTTCAAAAAAGTTCAAATCAGAGGTGGCTCCAAACCGGACACGTTTTAGAGTGCCCGTCAAATTCACTCTGGGTCTGAAATTAGGTAATTGCTATCGCTCCACGACGGCCAGTACAGAGTAACAATAAGCCTTGTGTGTGCTTCCATTAGTTTTGATTGGTATGCGGTGCTTTATTGTCGAGAGGCGAGCCGCTGTTTACCTGCGACAAGAAGTTGATTTTTCGAAAGTCGTAAAACTCAAGTCGCAGTGCGAAGCAACACGTCAAAAACTCACCTGCTTGATATGGCGCTTCTGGTCATCGCAGAGCCATGAAATTTTGGCTCGGAGTATAACACATCGTAGTCTCACTGTGACATATGTTTTCTAATCAAAATACCAAGAGAGAAAGTGAATATTGAGTCCGTTCCGGTTTGCAACCGGTGTCCTATTTGAAACCGTCCCCTCTACATTACGCCACGTTATCATTATCAGTCAGACGTCCTGTTCTGTATCATGATTGACATTGGTGAACGGTTGTGTGCTGTTTGCGTCTCCAGAAAGAAGGGACACTACTTTGCGTTATGAACTCAGTCCACCAGGCGTAGGCGCTGTGTTTTCTGGCAAGAAGACATTACCCCGCTTTCCGAGATACATGTAGTTCTGCTGCAGTTGATTCCTGGCCGTACTTCTTCCTGGGGTATTCTCATTGCCCCTTCAGCCTGGGCAAGTTCAGGACGGCGTCAAATCCGGGATTTGCTATCATCCCAGATTTGCAACCTTGGGACAAGGACAAGGTAAGGGAGAGCGATAGATAGTAGTTCAATTGAGATTTTAGTTAGTGTGGTGTTAGCACCAAACTATGTTGGATAGATGTTTGGGTATTTTTTGCTCGCTCCTGAGTACTGTCGTTCCTCTTTTCCACATAGCTGCAATAATACTACGTGCATGATCAATCTGCAACACGCTATTGGTAAAAACAATCCAGAGTCCCCTCGATGGAGAGGAATGGTTTCTAAGGGCCATGCCTGTCACCATCAGGGTCAAAATGCCAAGTCACTTAGCACCTACATGTACATGTCATGTATGTACGAAAATCTCAGCAACACCAGCCCTGTCCTCCTTCAAACTAACTGCCAGCCAAACTGCCAGCCATGTTACTTCAGAACTCAACGACATAATCGAACAAACAAAACATTTCGTCGACAGAGTAACGTGACATTTCAATCCGTGGTTCTCTTGAAAAATTGCAAACTTTAGTCATTCGCGTGAAAACGTGTGGTTACTGGTGCATCAGGGTTTGATGATTTTTCCCATTTTCAAGCGCTGAACGGCTCAAAAATTGAGGAAATTAATCACGGAACGAGATAGGGAACCTCCGCGCATCGACGTTAGCGCCCAGCTTCGGAACGCCAAGTTCCAAAATCGTCCTCTAGATGCCACCAGCTTCCCCTGTGCCAAGTTTCAAGTCCTCTCTCTGAATTGGCATACCCTGGCTTGATGAAAAAAGTCATCTCACAGCTCCCGAACTACATACATGAGATGATCGGTGTGCAAAGGGGAACGTGGTTCACATTGCATCCGTAGAGAAAGAGCAATCCATATCCTGCCTACAAACTACAATACTACAGTACAGAGACCAGACTGCAGTAGATGTCATGACATGACACCTACACATCACATAGTGGTGTCTTGCACAGCTACATGTATGTACACGGCTGTACTCACTAGCTTGGTGATGTCATGACTTGTAGCCATGTTTGACAAGCTACATTCTAGGTTTACGCAGAAGAAGACAGCATGAAATCCAGAAATCTGAACAAGCCCAGCAGCAGCAGAGCTGCAGCTAGGCTTGACTGCTTGAGCCTAGGAAAGCTGCGTACGTACGCCATGTGCATGTACCTACATGTACATGTAGCTGTCAATCTTCGCTGACATGACAATCATGATAGTAACCACAGCCCGTATACATGTGCTGGCCATCCACGATTTATCATACACGACTACTCGTTCATACTGCTGCTACTCTGTTCACGCCACTCTACCATGGAAATTCACGTTTAGACATGCCTTTGCCAGTACACACATGTACATACATTGTAGTCTGAATTGAATCAATCGATGATATCGATTTTTTCATACGTACATGTACACGTAGAAAGTGACGGTAGATCTAGAATGTATTTGAATGTGATCATAATGATCGCTACTTATAGGACCACAGCTGTACACCGGTGCACCATCCAAAATGCTGCATGGTGCTACACTACGGCGACGTTTTATTTTGGTTTTTTGGTTTTCTTTTTTAATTTCGGCCCGTCGGCAACATACAAGTACTTCTTTGTTCGTCTTGCAACTAATTACTTGGGGGTTAGGCAGGGGGGGGGGGGGGGGGGCAGTAGCCATGTAGGGGCTCGTTTAATTGTCCAGCGGCAAGCGAAACTCAGAACTCTTTTCTCCCAGGTGTTTGGTGAACATTCAGCAGGAAAACACTCCAGGATGGCTTGCCAGCGAAGGAGAAACTCCTATAATATTATCATAGGAGTTATAAATTTTGTTGACCTGGAGATCTTGCACGAGCCCCAGTCGAAGATTTACATGCACATGTACATATAACTTGCGATTCCGTGACCCTTGGAAACACGACAATCGCAGGTGACGCGACTTTGTGTTTTGTCACCGCTTGACGAGGTAACTACCGAACCTCAGTATCTGTACACTCAGTGTACGTGTTATCAGTCAGCGTTACCATGGTCACCTAGTGACTTCAGCACTAGTAGTAGTAGTACTAGTAGTACTCTTCGTTTGGTGGCTCGGAACAGGCAATCATTTAGCGATATAATCGCACAGGTCACATTGTAGAGTGCAGACCACCTAGGGCTTTCAACAATAATAACGTACTTCCACATTATGGGAATTTTGTATAACCCCACACCCGTCATTGTTGAATATTCGATAATAGCGTGGATTTCCCCAACAATATATTTTCATTTTTTGTTATCCTCTCCCATGCCGTTGTACATAAGCGGCTTGCCACGGATATGTCAATACTACTACTATTACTACTACTCTTCCTTCATGGTGTTGTGCACAATAAAACCGTTCTCAAGTACTCAGTACAAGTACTAGTACTACTTCAACTTGTAACTAATGTTACTACTACTAGTTGTAGTAGTTATCAGTCAGCGTTACCACGTGACCTGGTGACTCTCAGCACTTGTCTCGAGTTGTACTTGTAGTACTAGTCTTTGTAGTACTACTGGTAGTGGTAGTCAACAGTCAGCGTGACCACGTGACCTGGTGACTCTTCTGCCCAACATTGCAACAAGTAGCTGTAACCAGGTAACAGTAAAACTACCCGTCATGCATGTACATGTACATGTACATGATATCAGTGGTCGTCGACGGGTCTGTCACAGACTCGCAGTCTGCTCCACACCATAGTACATCATGTACATGACATTGTACTGTCGTGGACATGGAAATCCGGTCGCACGTCTAGCGGCCATGCCGCCATGGCATGCAGTATTACCAGGGGGTCTATACAACTCCCTGGTATTACTATTACGCGCTGCTGCTGGTCGCATCGTATCAACATGTGCGCTGCATGCAACGACGACGTACGCGCTGAGGGCGCCGGCCCCGGACAATCGACTGGATTTCCATGTCCGCGACAGTACAATACGTATGCGCTTTGCTTTTGATCATGTTGATCAGACAGGCACTGTACAGTGAGTTGGTCAAAGAGCATGATTGAAGTACACTGTACAGTGAGTTGGTTAAAGAGCATGATTGAAGTACAATGACGTCATGTACTACTGCTTCTTTTTTACTCTCTTTCTCACTCCTGTGTGCAGCCACACCATACGTGCTCCCACCCCTAACACACCTCAGTCACATGCACACCCACGTACACACGCACACAGCAACAACAAACAGCCTCTGCGGGGACAGCAGCAACAGCAAGTTGCGGGGACAGCAGCAACAGCAAGCAAGTGTATTGTCAACTCACGGCGACAATAGTAAACAGCTTTAAAAAGAAAGCAACTCATCTAGATCATCGAAATTAGTGCAGTCTGCAATCTGAGCACACCGCCAGCGGTGTGCTACGGAAATATCCAAACGACTCAACAAAATAACCATTCACTAGGGCGGGCGGGCATGGGCACTACACTTGCAAAGCAAGAAGAAAAAGAATGCCGCAGCCGGAGCGCATGCTCCTAATATCTCGCATTTGCGAGCAGCAAATGTTACGTCATGCAAAAGAAAGACAAAAAAGAACTACATTTCTCGTTTCTTTCCTACGTCAGCCAACGAGAAATGAGGCATTTCTTTTTTACTCTCTTTCTCACTCCTGTGTGCAGCCACACCATACGTGCTCCCACCCCTAACACACCTCAGTCACATGCACACCCACGTACACACGCACACAGCAACAACAAACAGCCTCTGCGGGGACAGCAGCAACAGCAAGAGCAGCAAAGCATAGCTAATGGATGGCCAGTGCCCTTGACACTGAGAGCATTGCTGAGAGTGACTCCTTGAAGTACATCCGCATGGATGTTTCGCTTCTCCAGCCGCCCTGACGTTGGATCAGTCTATCCGGGACTCCTGCTGCCGCGGCCACCGATGCTCCCCCAGAACGCAGGCTATGCAGCCCAAATGCGCTTGGGTTGAAGTTCGCTTGGCACAGCGCGTCCTGGATCAGCTCTCGGGCACGGCTGTAAGACATCTGGTCCCGGACAACTTGACTAGCGTTTCCTTGCCGAATACAGCCGAACAACTTCTGGTGGCCTTCGTAGCCACCTCTAGACAGCAGTCGCTCTGTTAGAGCCACTGGGCATACTGCTCCATGCCATCTTGACAGCAGCACCCAGTTACCTTGGCGCAGTTGATCATTTTTTCTCACTTCGAGAAATAGTGCCATGTAATCTTCCTTGATTTCGATCTCGTCGACGTATATGTTTGACAAGTCGTTCCACCGCAAGAGCCCTGCGAAGCCAACGGTCATCAGAGTCGCTGTCTGCAAGTTCTGCAGTGATTCATTGCGCAAGAGCCTGGTAGCAACTTGGTTTAGCATCTGCTTCGTCATCGGCCTCTTCCGGTTCTTCGGCGCCGCCAGCAGTCGTTTGGCGGCCTGGACTAGGTTCCGAACCTGTGCGTTGTCTGTGGGGTCCGGTAGGCCTCGCACCTTGTGCGACCAGGCCAACGCGCAAATAGCGGATGTTATTGGTGACGCTGTCCGTGCCTCCTGGAGCAGCTTCACGACATACAAACATATGTGCCAAGACTCGGCTGGTACGCTCGGGATCTCTTGACTGCTAGCCCACTCTTGCCAGCGCTGAAATGTCGACAAATACTTGGTCACTGTTCCCGGTGCCCTACTCGCCAACATGACTTCTGGAATCTTCCTGGATAGGTTCACGAGCTCCTGGGTTGGCTCCACTTGAACCGCCCTCAGCTCTAGGCATGAACACAAGATCATAACGTGAGGCGCCTGTCAACAGAGTCATCAGCATTAGCGTCGGCTTCAGCATCTGCAGCAGCTATCAGCATCACTTGAAGAGCATTATACAACGGCATCAGCAGCAGCGTCTGCCAGCCCTGTGGGCTACAACATCGTCATCGGCATCACCAGCAGCAGCATCCATCCGCCCTGCGGATTATGACATTGTCAGCAGCATCTGCCTCCTGCCCTGCAGGCAATGGTGTTCCCTGAACACCAACATAGGACAATGCCTCGTGCACCGTGCACTCACATGTGCTCGCGCCACAAAACCACAGCAATCGTGTCAGT